GTCCGCGCGAGGGGAGACTTCTGCTCCTCCTTTCGCACCTGCTCCTAAGGCTGATAACACCATTAGCGGAAGACGTTGATTTGATGCACTCCAAGACGTTTCGCGATGCTTGTGTGTGTGTATGTGTGGTGACGACGTGTGTTATTTTGTGAAATATCTGAAAATGTGTTTGTGTTTACTGTTTTAACTGCTGTTTTTTTTTGGGGGGGGGTATAAATGGTTGGTGAATGTGTTTGGTGACATTCACGTCAGAGAAAAGTGAAATTAGTGTATTATTTCTGTAAGTCGAGGACACTTTATATAGTTGGTTGTCCTGTGAACATGACATGGAAGTGATAAATAATGCATTGAAGGAAAAATTAAGTAAAATAATGAAAGTTTCTTTTCTGACGAATTATAAATCACCAAGAGTAGTGGAACTGTGTACTTCCTTATTCATGGAAGTCTCCCCAAAATGTGAGACTCGGTCGTGTTGTAAAACTTGTATGAAAATTATATACAGTATAGTCGATTTTTTAGCTTGAAGGAGAAAATAAGGAAAGCTTAAGTTAGGTGATATAGAAGACAATTAGAAAAGTGAAAGTGTGGATTTTCTTTCTATAAGTCCAAGTAAATTAAGAGAACTGATCATATTATAGTCAACATGGAAAGGTTCGTTTAGTAACCTCAAGGACAAAAAACAACTTGTATTGATTAATTTCATGTACACCCACAACAAAATTATTCGGCACCCTTACGGCGTGATACACGGGTGCTGAATAATTTTGTAGCGGGTGTACTTGACCGACAATTACTGGATTTGTTATTTTGAGAAATTAGGAAACACGGATGAATAATCAGTGTTGCAGTTCTAATTAATGGATGAAAGAAAATTAATATACCACAGTGAAATGGACTTGTGAAACTTAGTATTTTTATTTATTTATTTGTATTTATTTATGAAAGTGAAGGATACTTGAGAGAATTTTTCATATTTTGTGGGTGAACTGCAAAGATTCAATGATATATTTTGTGGTTCCAGAAAAAAAAATCCCTCTAAAGTGACTTATAAATCAATTAAATGACTTTGTTTCTTGTATACCTGGATCAAGAAAATTGTAGAATTGATTTGTTACTTGTGTTTGACAACCAAGAAAATTAGCCACATCAATTGTTTTGAACAATACAATTAGGAAATACTGATGAACATTACGAGTTGTAGTTTGAAGAAAATAAATGAGAGATAGACTGAACATATCATTGTGTAAACGACCAATGACGAAGGATACGTATGAGTAGCTTACTTTCTATCCTCAGGGGGGAAACCCTCACTTACCCGGTTATATTATAATGGAAGAAAATGGTTCATAGACAGCAATTAATTATTTTAAATAGGAGTGGATTCTATTATTTTTACCAATAGGGAAATAATTAATGGGAAGTGCAACTTTTTATGTTATAAAGAAAACCAATAGAAAGTGCAAACTGTTTCTTGGTTTACCTGTGTGAAAATTATTGATGGGTAATATTGTTTGCGATTATGGCATTAGGAAAAAGAGTAGGTATTAAATATTTCTTCTTTTACTGTTATGAAATTAATTAATGAGGAAGTGGAATGGAGCGAGGTTAGGGGTCGTCATTAGGAGAGATAAATAAACACGTAATTTGGGACACTTTATTAAGAAACAACAACAGGTCATCTTTATCTTAAAAGACCGGCTTTAGAAAATTCCAAATTTCAAAATACTTCTTTTCAAATAGGTCCTTCCTGCCTTCCTTCCTTCTTCCCTCTTGAGGCTACATCTCAGGGGAACTAATAGAATTGCTTCGAGTTCATTTACGTGGAAATTCAGTTTTGTGTCTCCTGCCGACGATGATGATGTGTTGGTGATGGCGTGGGAGGAAACTTGGGGCTGTATCCTCCCACTCGTCCAACGTATCATCCCACGTCCTTAGATATACGATATGTGTCGCAAAACAGCTCCCAGAGATACATAGGGACGTGTCCTTCCATTTTTCGAATTGTATACACGATGACGTATCCCAAATTCTCAGAGACACATGGGAACGTATCTTAACATCCCCAGAGTAACATAAGGATGTATCCTCCCAAATCCTCAATGACACATAGTTACCGTACGTACCAGCCCACATCCTCAGTGATACAGGGAGGACGTATCAGCCCACTTATCCGACGGACATAAGTTGCAAGATACATTAGGTTGTGTTGCCAGCAGGCTCTGTACGCTCACTGCTACAAGATCCAGGGAATTAGTTTACACTTTGTTTGGCGTGATCATGGAATCCTAGTGTGTGTGTGTGTGTGTGTGTGTGTGTGTGTGTGTGTGTGTGTGGAGGAGATGACTAGAGTGTAAGATCCTAACTAAACCAAACTGAATCTATTAACTACGGAATATAAGTTGAGACTAATAAGGATTTGTTTTGGATGAGTTGGGTTTGCCTGGGCTGATTTGAGTTGGGTTAGTTTAGGCTGTGTTGGGTTGGGTTGGCCTGCATTAAGTTGGGTTTAGTTAGGTTGGCTTGGGTAAAGTAGATTTAAATTGGGCTAGGGAAAGTTTGGTATGGTTAGGTTACGTTATGTTGGGTTGAGTTTCGTTGGGTTGGGTTAGGTTGGTTACAATTAGTTTAGGAATATAATAATAATAATTATTATTAACGGTTTATTAAGAAAACATGGCAGCTCGAAAGCTAAAAATATACAATGAACAGAGGTGATAAGTTACTTATGGTGAAATCGAGGAGTGGGTCACTTGATTGACAAAAGCTTTCAATACAGAACATAAGAAACATAGAGTCAACATATAGATAAACTGGTCTTGTATATGGTTAGGTTCGTGTCATCTGCAGTCGTGAATGCTTGAAGCCCCAAGGATTTAACCCCTTGTGTATAGGGTCCTCTTTGAGATGAATAAAATCGTCTGGCATTAGCCAATAAAATATTAAAAGTGGGGCGTCACCGTAGTGAAGGGGTATACGAAACGATGACAAACGCAGCCTTGTCAAACTCTCAGTTCAAAGATCGACAGCTGTCTTATCTATATATTTATTTACGTTCTTTCAGGGTTACATATTTCTAAATAAAGAATGGGGTTTTGTTTTAACATGTACTTTATGGAATGGTTGTGCTTTTAGATATTTGAATTATCACGTACTGCACTGTATAAGGGTGTTGAGAATAAGGTTTGCATATCGGTATTTTCAATTATCATTTTGACATTCTTGATTATCTGTTGGTGGTAGAGTTGTAACACGCACTTGCCTCTCAATGGTGCGACTCTGGCTTGATCCCCTCTTGGGTCGGCTGTGAGAAGGGCGTTGTCCACCGTCCAGTGTGTGGCTCTACCGAGCATTGCAGATTTTCTGTGGGTGCTCCATTAGTGTTTTCACCAGACAGTCACACGGGTATCCACGTCCGGGGATCTGTATATTTCATCCACTTTCAGTTATAAGTAATTATTCGTATTACTTTTATGATTAGTAATGTTCAAGTATTGAAAGACGAGTAATTTGGCATGATTATAATATAGATTTGTTCGGTTAATATATTTTGTTTTAAGATTTATTTTACCTTATGCAGGTGTGGGAACCAGACGCAGTGTACATGTGATATGTGTGTAATGGTGAGCTTATTCGACTCCAGAGAGCGATTCCGGGTTCGATCCCCGAGCAAAGTAGAACTAGGGGCAAATTTATATACGTCTTTTGCCTCTGTCTACCCAAAAAAGAGTTGCGAACCTGAGTGTTCATGGTTTTGTGGATTGTGTCTCGGGGTAGTGTAGTGTAGTGTAGCGTAGCGGTGACGACTCTCAGAATGGTGGTAATGGAAGATGTTTTTCTCTTCTCTCAGTTAGACATAATCATGTAGTTAATTAAGTTATCGAGGGTTTGCAAGATTAGATATAGTTACAGTATAGACTCTCAGTGACCAAGAAATATTGAAGTCTCGCTTACCACGGTTGGCCTGTATGCCTTTATGTATAGCAGGATGGTGTCAACTCAAAGGGGATTGGCGTTATTCTTGCGTTGTTTCAAATTTGCAACAGTAAATGGCTGAGGTCTGGCCTGTTAACCAATAAAAAAAATAGTCTAATAGCTTAGCATATAGTCCCTTCCCTGTTGTATAGCATTAAGCTAGGCTGGTAACCATACCTAGCTAACTTACTGTATTTCATTGAAAGAAGACATTTTTATTTTCGGGCATCAGCCCACCCGGGCACAGGTCATTGGCCCACATAGGGGCCGGGGGTTGGGGGGGAATATAATAATAATAATAATAATAATAATAATAATAATAATAATAATAATAATAATAATAATAATAATAATAATAATATAAATTAATAAAAATAAATGAATACTAAAATTTTTTTAATAAAGTAATAATAACCACGAAGTACAAAAAAAAAGAAGATTAATAGTGAGAAACGATATACCTGTATGTATGTTGTGTTGTCAAAATAAGAAAAACAATTGAGACCCTGCAATTGTGTGTAAATGAGGCAGAAAGTCAGATCAGCAACCTGGGACTTGGTCACAATTTTTGTGATGCCATATGGCAGCAGGGTCTACCATTAGACAACACATTAAGCTTCCAATATCTTCCCAGGCGGTAGTACCTCCTTGTTTGATAGCTCTTTACTACCTATTACCTACATATGGACCTGACCAGTTTCCTACCTTTAATGCTGTAGTATGATAAGTTTAACCAAATCTTTTGATAACATGAATGATGCATGTAGCCATCAGATCACCTTCACCCAGCTGATCTCACCTCTGCTGTGATAGTCAATTACTGTACAGGGTAGTAAAATACTGTAAAACTGTTGAATGGAAGTAAATAACTGTTCATACTAATAGATATGAGCAACTGGTGGATATTTAGACGAAACTATAATTAGACACTAGGCGAAATAAAATTGGCTTTGTCGTAATTATTTGCTGCCAGAACATTATGTTGCACCAAGAATTACTCTTAATGCAATGATGAGACATCCATACTGCGTTTAAGAGTCGAGATGTAACTCTACTCTGTTTTAAAGATAGTGTGTGTCTAGCGCAGCCAAACTGTGGAATGGTCTTCCTTCAGATGTGTTTGATGAGGATGTAACAGGGTTTGCTC